TCCCTACAGGTATGTCATCTTAGATTACAAGTAGAGAGAGAGAGTTAAACAGCATAGTCCTATCTCCCTACAGGTATGTCATCTTAGATTACAAGTAGAGAGAGAGAGTTAAATAGCATAGTCCTATCTCCCTACAGGTATGTCATCTTAGATTACAAGTAGAGAGAGAGAGTTAAATAGCATAGTCCTATATCCCTACAGGTATGTCATCTTAGATTACAAGTAGAGAGAGAGAGTTAAATAGCATAGTCCTATCTCCCTACAGGTATGTCATCTTAGATTACAAGTAGAGAGAGAGAGTTAAATAGCATAGTCCTATCTCCCTACAGGTATGTCATCTTAGATTACAAGTAGAGAGAGAGAGTTAAATAGCATAGTCCTATCTCCCTACAGGTATGTCATCTTAGATTACAAGTAGAGAGAGAGAGTTAAACAGCATAGTCCTATCTCCCTACAGGTATGTCATCTTAGATTACAAGTAGAGAGAGAGAGAGTTAAACAGCATAGTCTTATATCTCTATACAGGTATGTCATCCTAGATTACAATTAGAGAGAGAGAGTTAAACAGCATAGTCCTATCTCCATACAGGTATGTCATCTTAGATTACAAGTAGAGAGAGAGATTTAAATAGCATAGTCTTATCTCCCTACAGGTATGTCATCTTAGATTACAAGTAGAGAGAGAGAGTTAAACAGCATAGTCCTATCTCCCTACAGGTATGTCATCTTAGATTACAAGTAGAGAGAGAGAGTTAAACAGCATAGTCCTATCTCCCTACAGGTATGTCATCTTAGATTACAAATAGAGAGAGAGAGCTACAGCATAGTCCTATCTCCCTACATATATGTTATCTGTTAACAAGAGAGAGAGAGAGAAAGAGAGAGAGAGAGAGAAAGAGAAAGAGAGATCTAAGTTGAGCATAGTCCTATATCTCCTTATACAGCTAACCAATGGGTTTTGTTGTAGTTTTGTTATATATTGTTCCTTTATATTTTTTAATGACTTATATCTCCATTTTCTACAATAAGAGCCCAGATGTAAAGACATCCTACCTCATATATTTTTTTTCACTGAATGGAATATCATATAAAATTGTTGCATTTATTTTACTCCTGAAAGAGATCTAGGAATTCATGGGTAATTCATGTATAAAATAATATGAAGCCTCTCTATTAATGCTTGAAATAAGACAATATAAGGTTATAATACATTGAGTAAATGGTCCTTACTCAGGGTTATGTACATAAAGTGAATCTTTTAAGTTCTTTAATGATTGAATGATTTGCACTTTTAATATTCATAAGTGTACACATGTCAGTGTACCATTTCCACAAAAGGTAAAAGAAAATGATTTTAAACATTTAATTTATATACACATATATGATAACTGTTGTGGGTTGATGAACTTCAATAAAAAGATAAAGGAAGAAATGTTCCTAATCTGCAGAATGAGAAAGCAGAAAATAATTAATGTAATTTTGAAGAGATAAAGTTCCATTGATCACAAGAACTTCATGCCTATGGAGTTGAATGCAGTGATATTAACTTACACATAGGTTAATCATTCAAAGGATGAATTTTGTCCATGTGACATTGTGAATTAATTAATCCTACTTGTCAGCTGGACAGAACTAATTACATGTAGTCGTTAGTTTATGATCACTGTCAATCAACATCAGACTGTCAATCAAGTCGAGGCTTACGGAATTCTTTCTGACAGCTGCTTAACCTTGTTAATGTCCCCTGTCTGAATTCTGTGACAAGATTCCCGGAGATGGAAACCATTTCTGATCGGTATTTCCTCATCCAGATTACATTTAATTCATTAACTTGTTACAAATAAAGCCAAGAAATGGGAAGATTAGAAAACCACAGAAATTTATGACAGCTCTTGTGGGACGATCTTTATAATTCCTATATTGACAATGTAATGTTGTCCATAATAAAATAGGTGATAAAACCTTTCTGTGGCCTCTTCTATATAAGATCCCACCCCTGTTCCTCTTTGTCTATATTTGTTAAACAACTTTAAATGAGTATTATGAATTGACTTAGAATTGTGGATAAGTTTAATTAGTCAAGTTTGAGGGTGTTATCTACTAAATATCATAATCCATATTATTGACAAAGCCATAGCATGTAGATTTTTCCCAAGCAACATTCAGAAAAAGAATCCAACTGTTCTAACAGATCTGCACATAAGATATCAAATTAATTATTACCTTGGGTATAAAACAGGATACATTTTGCATAAATTTTTCATAGGAATTTTGAACATGCAGAATTTCAAGTTAGGGTAATTAGACAGAGAAATTAAAAATATTCAGACATACAAGAAAAAAAAAATGAAAACATGAGAATTTGCAATAATGTTCTACCATTTTAAAGTTTCTAACACTCTCCCCATTATAACAGGTCAAGTTTGCAGTGACTTAAGTCATTTTCCATTATGATATAAATATTGGTAGTTCAGAGTAGTATCGATACAGAGTGCATTGCGATAATTCTCTGGTAAACCTTAATGTACCTACAAAATTGTTGGTGGTCTGTCCAAGTGTGGATATACTTTTTATAAGTCCCTTTTATATATTACCAGTTACTGGACAAGCTCTTGGTTAAGTGTGCCCCTATAATCCTTGTTGTATATAACAGGTTACTATACAAACTCTAAGTGGTGTTCCTATAATCCCTGTTGTATATTACAGGTTACTGGACAAACTTTTGGTGGTGTTGCTATAATCCCTGTTGTATATAACAGGTTACTTGACAAACTCTTGGTCGTGTGTTGCTATAATTCCTGTTGTACACTCACGTGCCAAAAGTATGTCAATTTTTTCACAAGATGGCCGCCATAGTTTTTGTTTACTACTTGAATAAAAAATGATGCACTTACCTTATTTCTTCGTATTTTGACTTAATATTTTGTGATGAAGCCTTTGGATGCAATCACTTTCCGACATCGTTTCGGTAGACTGGAGTAGAGAGACCTGAGGTAAGTTTTTGACAGATTGTTCCAAGCATACTGTAGTTCGTGTTTCAAGTCGTCGATGGTACGGATGTGGAAAATCTGACGTTTAACATGATTTTTCAAAACAAGCCAGACATTTTCAATTGGGTTTAAATCAGGGGACTAGAATGCCATTCCTAAGTCTTCTGTCTCTCGTGAGCGATGAACAGGGCAATTGTCATCCATGAAATGCCAGGGTGAATTTGCAAAATATTTTACTATCACGGGCCATAAATGTTCATAACACACTAATGTACTTCTGCGAGTTCATATTACCATCAACAAATGGTATTCCAGCTCCTGTTATTGTCCCCCACACCATTAACTTTTTGTCCAAGTACCCCAGGCAATAGCCTCTCCATTTCTCCGATGTTTTCCTCCAAACTTTAACTTTACCATCTGGTTTTACAACTATCGTCATTTCATCACTAAAAATAACATTCTTCCATTGTTGGTCAACTTTCCAAGTTAATTTTCCCCTACAATACTGAAGTCGTTTCTTCCTGTTCACTTCACGGACCCCCAATTTTTTTGCCACAGTCCTTCTCCAGTATTGCTGACGATGTGCTGAATAGTTCTCTTAATACAGAATTTGGCACTGACCTGTTGTATTCATCGGTTATTTCCGTTAAAGTTTTTCTTCTGTCTTTTTTTACGATTCTAGAGAGAGCCGTGTGGTCGCGAACTGTCATGGATGGGGGTCGTCCACTTCGAGGTTTATTTTCAACGTCACCCCGCTCACAAAATCGCTTTAAGAATCGACAAATTGTCGAGGAATTCAAATTTAGTAATTCAGCCACTTTAACCGCTTTTAATCCACTTTCTATTAGGGATATTACGGTCTTCTTTTCATCAATAGTAAGTTCTCGTCCCCTTCGTCCCATGCTTGTTGTTTACATTGACAATGGAAAAATAGCAGAAGTTATGACTACTTCCGGTTTACAAAGGCATTACATAATATACGGCAGCTTAATGGTGACATAAATAAGTCAAAATTCGTGAATGAAAGTAAAATTTTATTGAAAAAAAAATTATTGATTTAATTTATATACGGCGGCCATCTTGAAAAAATTGACATACTTTTGGCACGTGAGTGTATATTATACAATTATTGCTGTGTTTTGAGGTCAATACAATGATTTAGCCATCTGAGGAGTACAATATTCACCGAGCCCGGAGGGCGAGGTGAATATTGTACTTCGAAGATGGCTAAATCATTGTATTGACCGAAAAAACAGCAATAATTGTTTTATTATATGATTCACTAATAAAATGATAAAACCCATTACTTGTTTGCATTTTATTAAGTCCTATCCAAATACAATTAAAAGAGAAGCAGAATTACAATGTTAATCAACCTTACAGGTCGTATTTATTTTTTTTTAAAAGTTTTTTTTATCAATTTTTGTTGCCATGAAAAAAATGTCAGTCTTTTTTCCAGGATAGATTTTTAATGGAAGGAGTATTATCAGGGAAAACTGACTGCCAAAAAGTAAAAATTGTTGTTCAGTAAAAGTGTTGGAGGAGTGTCCCTGCATCCCCTCTTACCATCCTCACCCGAAAATATATATTCGCTTATGTTTTCTTCACATGAAAAAAAAAGTTATAGTAGTTTAAATAGCTTTCCAAATCAATTTGTATCAATTTGGAATTTCCCAATCTATTTTTAGATCAATGTAGAGGAAATAAATCCTTGTATTGACCTAGAACGTCACGTGCAGGTCAATACAACGTAGTATTTTTCTAACATAGTTGGATCTCAGCCAATCAGAGAGATGGAAATTATTCTATCATATAATAAAACAGGTTACTGGACAAGCTTTTGGTGGTTTGTTCATTTTTGATAAATCCCTGTTGTATTGTACAGGTTACTGGACAAACATTTGGTGGTTTGTTTCTATTTGATAAATCCCTGTTGTATTTTACAAGTTACTTGACAAACTTTTGGTGGTATGTCCCTATTTGATAAATCACTGTTGTTGTTTGTTATAGGTTACTGGACAAGCTTTTGGTGGTGTGCCCCAATGTGGATTACTGTGAGGAGGTTCTGCCCCGCTGTGAACTTGAGGCCCACCTTCTCCACCGTTGTCGGGGGGCCGTCACTAAGTGTATCAAGGCCACACTGGGCTGTACCTTCCAGGGCCCCCGCAGTGCCCTACAGAGCCACCTATGGGAGTGTCAGTTCAGAGACCAAGATGGAGGTAGTACAGATTATAATACTGAATTACACAGGCAGTGTTTTTATGTACTAATGGTTTTAAATGCCAGTTTAAGGAAAAAGGCAGAGTATTTTTATTTTTAAGCTATATTAACTTATTTAAAATGGTTAAATATTGTCATTAGATTTCTTTTTATGAGTCGGGAAGAAAAAATGCTGCTTCCTTATATAGAAACATAGATATTATAATTTCATAGTTTGTGGAGTTTTCTTTGAACATTTTTTTTTATAATTTTAATAATCCTAGTTTATCACCTAAATTACCATCAGTGAACGGGGATGCCAATTTTTTTTCTTTAGAATTATAAAATATATACATAGGTACATTAAAATCACATGGATCCCCTTTTTCTTCATTTGATTGGCTTGTTGGATAGCTCTTTTTACTGACTTGATGTTCTTGCTTAACAGGCAAAAATCCAGTCCTGGATGGGGAAGTGTCAACTATTGAAATCCAGAGAAGTCAAGCAGACCTTGGTATCAGTATTGTAGGAGGAAATGACACTCCTCTAGTAAGTCAGACCTTGTATTAGTATTGTAGGAGGAAATGATACTCTTCTAATAAGTCAGACCTTGTTTCAGTATTGTAGAAGGAAATAATACTCTTCTAGTAAGTCAGACCTTGTATCAGTGTTGTAGGAGGAAATGACACTCCTTTAGTAAGTCAGATCTTGTACCAGTATTGAAGGAGGAAATGACACTCCTTTAGTAAGTCAGATCTTGTACCAGTATTGAAGGAGGAAATGACACTCCTCTAGTAAGTCAGACCTTATATCAGTACTGTAGGAGGAAATGACACTCCTCTAGTAAGTCAGACCTTGGTATCAGTATTGTAGGAGGAAATGACACTCCTCTAGTAAGTCAGACCTTGGTATCAGTATTGTAGGAGGAAATGATACTCCTCTAGTAAGTCAGACCTTGGTATCAGTATTGTAGGAGGAAATGATACTCCTCTAGTAACTCAGACCTTGGTATCAGTATTGTAGGAGGAAATGATACTCCTCTAGTAAGTAAAAACTATTGTAGGAGGAAATGATACTCCTCTAGTAAGTCAGACCTTGTATCAGTATTGTAGGAGGAAATGACACTCCTCTAGTAAGTCAGACCTTGTATCAGTATTGTAGGAGGAAATGATACTCCTCTAGTAACTCAGACCTTGGTATCAGTATTGTAGGAGGAAATGATACTCCTCTAGTAAGTCAGACCTTGTATCAGTATTGTAGGAGGAAATGACACTCCTCTAGTAAGTCAGACCTTGGTATCAGATACTCCTCTAGTAACTCAGACCTTGATATCAGTATTGTAGGAGGAAATGATACTCCTCTAGTAAGTAAAAACTATTGTAGGAGGAAATGATACTCCTCTAGTAAGTCAGACCTTGTATCAGTATTGTAGGAGGAAATGACACTCCTCTGTTAAGTCAGACCTTGTATCAGTATTGTAGGAGGAAATATACTCCTCCAGTATATCAGACCTTGGTATCAGTGTTATATGAGGAAATGATACTCCTCTGGTAAGTCAGACCTTGGTATCAGTATTGTAGGAGGAAATTATACTCCTCTAGAAAATTAGACTATTGTAGAAGGAAATGATACTCCTAATAAGTCTGACATTGGTATCAGTATTTTAGGAGTAAATGATACTCCTCTAGTAAGTAAGAGAGTAGGAGGAAATGATACTCCTCTAGTAAGTCAGACCTTGTATTAGTATTGTAGGAGGAAATGATACTCCTCTAGTAAGTCAGACCTTGTATCAGTATTGTAGGAGGAAATGACACTCCTCTAGTAAGTCAGACCTTGTATCAGTATTGTAGGAGGAAATGATACTCCTCTAGTAACTCAGACCTTGGTATCAGTATTGTAGGAGGAAATGATACTCCTCTAGTAAGTCAGACCTTGGTATCATTATTGTTAATACTATATTATTACCAAGATCTGACATACAAGAATTGAATCATTTTCAATGTAATCAATGCTCTCAACCTTATTCAGTATTTGCCTTATAATATATCTAATTAATTCCTGATTTATTACAATGACTTCGTGTATTTCATCAACTTTTTGTGAATTTCAGGGATGCATTGTGATACAGGAAGTATTTCCTGATGGGGTTATCGCTAAGGATGGACGACTGATGCCTGGGGACCAGATACTAGAGGTCTGTGACGTTTTCTCCCAAAACTCAAAATATTTGTATCTGTACCATATTAATATGCTGTTTTAATTTTTAAAAAAAGATTTTTAAAAAATTACAAAAGGGCCTTAACATTTTTAAGCGTACCTGAGCTGAAAGCTGAAAGTTTTACTGTATATTAGAAGTATATTTGTCACTATTACAGGTAAATGGTCAGGATAGAACCTCAAAGCTCAGCAGTTTTAAATTGAAGAATCAGTTGATATATTAGAAGTATATTTGTCAATGTTACAGGTGAATGGTGAAGATCTAACCCAGGCTTCTCACTACAAAGCTCAGCAGTTACTGGGACATTACTACCCTGTTTGTCGCTTCACTCTATACAGAGAAAAGGCCGAGGAAAATCGACCAATAGAAAAAGAAGGTAATGACCAATCATAGACTCTGATTTTGTCTCTTCTTGTCTGAAATAATATTGTTATTAATACATCTTGAAGTAAAAATGTCTTGAAGTTCATACATAAATGAATGTTCTCTGCTTATGTTTTTAAAATAAGGTGTATATCTGTTTTCTAGAGATACTGAAAATAACATTGAACAAAGTCAAAGGGAAGCAACTTGGAATTAAACTTGTTGGGAAAAGGTATGTACCCAATAACTTAGATTCTTATTATATTCTTGAGCAGAAAAAAATACACTGACTGTTTTGTTAAGCATAAATACATCTAGCTCCATTATGTAAGATAAATTCTGTGCTGATTACATCTTAATAATATTAATATTATATCAAGAATTTAATGAGAATTGTTGAAATTTTTGGAAGAGGTTATCTCTCCATATTTAATTTAAATCATAGTAGTATTGTAAGAACTATTATTAGATATGTTTATTCCCCTGTATGATATTTCTGAATTCCTTTATATATTATTGACTCCTCACACATTTGACAGGATTGGTCCAGGGGTGTATATCCTCAATCTAGTAAGTAGACGTAGACCTTAAAACTGTAGAGTTGATACGATTTCACTGAGAGAGTTAGCTAAATGAATGTACATTTGAATATTTCAGTTTTATACACCATAACATTTATTCATTGTCGCTTCACAGATGCATTCATGTGTACTTAAATGTGTGTATATCCATTGATATGTAATATGTGATATCCCTGCACACACCTCATGTTGACAGCTTTCTTACTTGATTTCTGATTTCAGGTCCCAGAGAGCCTTGCAGCATTAGACGGCCGATTAAGACCGGATGACAGGGTGCTAGAAATAAACGGTGTAGACGTATCGTATGGGACACAAGAACAGGCAGCTCAGGTTATTCAGGTACTACATAGTGTTTAGTAAGACTGTCAGGTTATTCAGGTACAGTACACTGTGTTTAGTAAGACTGTCAGGTTATTCAGGTACTACACAGTGTTTAGTAAGACTGTCAGGTTATTCGGGTACTACACAGTGTTTTGTAAGACTGTCAGGTTATTCGGGTACTACACAGTGTTTAGTAAAACTTTCAGGTTATACAGGTACTACACAGTGTTTAGTAAGACTCTCAGGTTATTCGGGTACTACACAGTGTTTAGTAAAACTTTCAGGTTATTCAGGTACTAAACAGTGTTTAATAAAACTCTCGGGTTATTCAGGTACTACACAGTGTTTAGTAAGACTCTCAGGTTATTCAGGTACTAAACAGTGTTTAGTAAGACTCTCAGGTTATTCAGGTACTGCACAGTGTTTAGTAAGACTCTCAGGTTATTCAGGTACTACACAGTGTTTAGTAAGACTCTCAGGTTATACAGGTACTGCACAGTGTTTAGTAAGACTCTCAGGTTATTCAGGTACTGCACAGTGTTTAGTAAGACTCTCAGGTTATACAGGTACTGCACAGTGTTTAGTAAGACTCTCAGGTTATACAGGTACTACACAGTGTTTAGTAAGACTCTCAGGTTATTCAGGTACACTGCACAGTGTTTAGTAAGACTTTCAGGTTATTCAGGTACTACACAGTGTTTAATAAGACTCTCAGGTTATTCAGGTACTACACAGTGTTTAGTAAGACTCTCAGGTTATTCAGGTACTAAACAGTGTTTAATAAGACTCTCAGGTTATTCGGGTACTGCACAGTGTTTAGTAAGACTCTCAGGTTATACAGGTACTGCACAGTGTTTAGTAAGACTCTCAGGTTATTCAGGTACTGCACAGTGTTTAGTAAGACTCTCAGGTTATTCAGGTACTGCACAGTGTTTAGTAAGACTCTCAGGTTATACAGGTACTGCACAGTGTTTAGTAAGACTCTCAGGTTATTCAGGTACTACACAGTGTTTAGTAAGACTCTCAGGTTATTCAGGTACTGCACAGTGTTTAGTAAGACTTTCAGGTTATTCAGGTACTACACAGTGTTTAGTAAGACTCTCAGGTTATTCAGGTACTGCACAGTGTTTAGTAAGACTCTCAGGTTAGACAGGTACTGCACAGTGTTTAGTAAGACTCTCAGGTTATTCAGGTACTGCACAGTGTTTAGTAAGACTCTCAGGTTATACAGGTACTACACGGTGTTTAGTAAGACTCTCAGGTTATTCAGGTACTGCACAGTGTTTAGTAAGACTCTCAGGTTATACAGGTACTGCACAGTGTTTAGTAAGACTCTCAGGTTATTCAGGTACTGCACAGTGTTTAGTAAGACTTTCAGGTTATTCAAGTACTACACAGTGTTTAGTAAGACTCTCAGGTTATACAGGTACTACACAGTGTTTAGTAAGACTCTCAGGTTATACAGGTACTACACAGTGTTTAGTAAGACTCTCAGGTTATACAGGTACTACACAGTGTTTAGTAAGACTCTCAGGTTATTCAGGTACACTACACAGTGTTTAGTAAGACTCTCAGGTTATTCAGGTACTACACAGTGTTTAGTAAGACTTTCAGGTTATTCAGGTACTACACAGTGTTTAGTAAGACTCTCAGGTTATACAGGTACTACACAGTGTTTAGTAAGACTCTCAGGTTATACAGGTACTACACAGTGTTTAGTAAGACTCTCAGGTTAAACAGGTACTACACAGTGTTTAGTAAGACTTTCAGGTTATTCGGGTACTACACAGTGTTTAGTAAGACTCTCAGGTTATTCAGGTACTACACAGTGTTTAGTAAGACTCTCAGGTTATACAGGTACTACACAGTGTTTAGTAAGACTGTCAGGTTATTCAGGTACTACACAGTGTTTAGTAAGACTCTCAGGTTATACAGGTACTACACAGTGTTTAGTAAGACTCTCAGGTTATTCAGGTACTGCACAGTGTTTAGTAAGACTCTCAGGTTATACAGGTACTGCACAGTGTTTAGTAAGACTCTCAGGTTATTCAGGTACACTACACAGTGTTTAGTAAGACTCTCAGGTTATTCAGGTACTGCATAGTGTTTAGTAAGACTGTCAGGTTATTCAGGTACACTGCACAGTGTTTAGTAAGACTCTCAGGTTATTCAGGTACTACACAGTGTTTAGTAAGACTCTCAGGTTATACAGGTACTGCACAGTGTTTAGTAAGACTCTCAGGTTATACAGGTACTACACAGTGTTTAGTAAGACTCTCAGGTTATTCAGGTACTACACAGTGTTTAGTAAGACTCTCAGGTTATTCAGGTACTACACAGTGTTTAGTAAGACTCTCAGGTTATTCAGGTACTGCACAGTGTTTACTAGCCATTCTCTGTAACCACTTAAATTTCGTTGCCACGCATGGTCACCGATTTTGATGAAACTTCACCCATGCTTAGTACTTGACACCAGAAACAAATATCAAACAAAATTTTGTTGCTATGTGTCTTGGTTGCTGTGGCAACAGCTAGAAAAGTTTGAAAAATCGAGATTTTCAGCCACTTTAAATCTTGACTGTGGCTTAATAAAAACTAGAAAAATCAAACAGTCCATTCTCACGAAAACATGACACATTGATGTCACTTATACTGTAAAGAAACTGTTTAGAATATATCTCTAAGTAAGTGGTAACCAAGGGTACATTTGGAATACATCTAAAATGCTGAAATATGCTGAAAAACACTCCGTATTCACTAATGGTAGGTGTTACATGCTCAAACTCAATCATCGACTTAAGAAAAACAATGAAAATGTTTGACCTTAAATATATAAGTAAAAGCAATATTATTCTATAAAGAACTTTTATGGTTGCCATGGTAACACAGTGTAACCATGCAAAACCAGTAACTAAGATTGGGTTAATGCTACTGTCTTGAGGAAAAACATGAAAATTCAAGACTGGCAAATATGCATCTTTAGGACCTTGCAACACCAAAACCATAAGAAAAATTTGGTATAATTCCTACTTTGCAGTGTTACCATGGAAACAAAGTACCAGTGCTTAAAAGTGAATTATTTTTCGCTGCATTCAGAATTAAATTGCCATTTAATCAAGTAGCAAATTAAAGGACTCAGCTTGAATAGTACTTATCTGTTAGAACTGAAGTTGAATATCATATATTGATAAAATTTGATGAATAAAACAACACTGTTGCTATGGTTACCAAGAAGGGAAAAGATTTTGTGAACTTTATATCAATATTAAACACTGTGTGCCAACTTCTTGCATCCACTTAGAGATTAGATGATAGTCAAAATTAAAAGTCATGTTAGCTGTTAATAAATATCAATCATAAAAGTTTTGGGAATCTACATTTACACAAGGAAAGAAAATATTTTTCAGGTTTTTAAGCATATATTTTCTGCTTATTTCCATAGCAACGCTCTATTTAAAGAATCCAATCGGACTTTTTTCAAATGGGAACACTTGGAGCACACCAACATCTTATAAAATTGATCATTAGTTATGAGGAAATGTGCTTTTTTTAAAAGATAGGATCAGATTTAAACATACAAAGTGTTACTTTGAAGGCTGTCTGTGGTATAAAAACCTTGGCAACCATTGTCAACCAAAATGAAATATCATATTTTGTTCTTGGTATATGTTTCAAGGTTCTTTTTTCTATTATTTGGTCACATTTCATCCTATAATTGCTTTTTATTTTTACGTGTATGACTTTATAAAATTCAATGAACATTTTTTTTACTTTTGAATACTTTGTAACCATAGTAATGTATGTAGTAGTTGATTTACCAAACATGTTTATCATGCATTTGAGACATCTGACCTTCAACTTTTGGAAACAGTCATTGCCATTTATTTGCTTTGCCGCAAATGTTAACTATGGGGCTCTAAACATGTTAAAAAAGAAATTTAAGACATGTTGCCATGGTAACTATAAAACATAGCAACCAATTTTTGCCGGATTTCAGTTTAGGGTATCACTGACTTTTATCATAGAGAGTTTGGAGAAATTCTGAGACTATGCGTGCCACAGCTCCTATATAAAATTTCAAATCATTACAGAGAATGGCTCTTAATAAGACTCTCAGGTTATTCAGGTACTACACAGTGTTTAGTAAGACTCTCAGGTTATACAGGTACTACACAGTGTTTAGTAAGACTGTCAGGTTATTCAGGTACTACACAGTGTTTAGTAAGACTCTCAGGTTATTCAGGTACTACACAGTGTTTAGTAAGACTTTCAGGTTATTCAGGTACTACACAGTGTTTAGTAAGACTGTCAGGTTATTCAGGTACTACACAGTGTTTAGTAAGACTCAGGTTATTCAGGTACTACACAGTGTTTAATAAGACTTTCAGGTTATTCAGGTACTACACAGTGTTTAGTAAGACTGTCAGGTTATTCAGGTACTACACAGTGTTTAGTAAGACTCTCAGGTTATTCAAGTACTACACGGTGTTTAGTAAGACTAAACATATATCCTGTGATTTAGACAAGATCGACCAATGTGCATTTCTGGATATCTGTAGAGGTTGTTGAAGAAAATTCTTATGACATGTAGAGATTTTTGTTAACTTGTCATATGAAGTGTAGATTGAGATCATTTTTCCTTTGTAGACAAGTGAGGACAGGGTCCAGTTTGTGATATCTCGGTGCAGTCGTCCTCAGACACCGGATCTCATTAGGTCTACAGCAGATAATACCGTTGTTCATCCTAACTATGAAAACCATTCACCGTACAGCAGTCTGAGTGGGCAGCAAGGGGAGAAACTTGTCACTGTATCCAAGGTCAACACAAATATCTAACATATAATACTAAATCTAGGGTCTGCACAAATATCTAAATATAACATTTAATCCAGGGTATGCACAAATATTTTTTTTTTTTTATCTAGCACATATATCTTTTTTTTTATTTAGCACATATATCAAAACATAACACTAAATCCAGGTTCAGCACAAATATTTAAATATAGCACAAAATCAAATTTCAGCACATTTAAATATCTAAATATAGCACTAAATCTATGGTTAGTACGAATAGGATGCTTAGAATTCTAACTTGTTTGTGTTATAGGATGCTCAGAATTCTAACTTGTTTTATATGTTATAGGACGCTCAGGAATCTCTGGGAATCAGTGTGGCGGGGGGAGTTGACAGCCCCCGAGGAGATACCCCCATATACATCACAAACATCAACCTGACAGGATGTCTGGGCAAAACTAAACAGGTCAAGGTAGGTAACAAATCTACATCACAAATATCAACATCACAGGATGTCTGGGCAAAACTAAACAGGTCAAGGTAGGTAACAAATCTACATCACAAATATCAACATCTCAGGATGTCTGGGCAAAACTAAACAGGTCAAGGTAGGTAACAAATCTACATCACAAATATCAACATCTCAGGATGTCTGGGCAAAACCAAACAGGTCAAGGTCAGTCACAAAGGTCAAAAGTGTAGTCAGGAGTGAAGTCAAAAGTGTCATCAGGAGTGTAGTCAAAAGTGTAATCAGCAATGTAGTCAAAAGTGTAGTCAAAAGTGTAGTCAGGAGTGTAGTCAAAAGTGTAGTCAAAAGTGCAGTCATCAGTGTAAGGCAGGCATTTAATATGATATAATTATTACTTTTGTGGCATTAATGACCAATATTTACTTTCAGAAAGGAGACATTTTGTTGTCCATAAATGGAAAGAGTTTGCTCGGCTTGAGTCATAACCAAGCAGTTAATCTGGTGAAACTAAACACAGAAGCCAAGGTCGTCTGTTTGAAGGTCATTGAGGGGTCTGAAACCTCGTATGGACAGGGAAACTTCACACCTACATGGCTGTTTTGGCAGAAAGTTCCAAGGTAATGTCTTTTGTAGAATAAGAACTTGTAATAAAGGATTCATTTAATGTTAGTATACATTGTACACTCTATTCCTAACAATATCTGTCATGTATACATTGTACATTCTATTCCTAACAGAATCTCTCATGTATACATTGTACACTCTATTGTTTATAGTATCTGTCAGACCATTAAGACTGTGACCTTATTAAGGAGTCCCAGCGGTAGCCTTGGTTTCTCATTGGTTGGAGGTTCAGACAAGGACACAGGACCACAGGTGCCTGTCCATGTCAAGTCTGTTGTCATGGAAACTCCAGCTGCCAAAGATGGCAGACTAAAGTAAGTTTGTGTTCCAACTGAGTAAAAAGTTGTTAAGAAATTTTGTAAATGATGAAAAATTCAGTGATAATTTCATGTCTCAGTTTGATTTTTAAAAACTTTATTTATAGCTGTGGATATTGAATTCATTTCAGATGTGGTGATATTCTTTTGAGTGTAAACCAGCATTCCTTAGTGAACATAACACATTCCAGGGCCGTGGATCTCCTCAAACAAGCTGATGGTGCTGTTACATTAACTGTTGTCTCATGGCCAGGAACCATTGTATGACACAGATACAATTTGTAACACAAAATTTCATTTGTCTGGTACCATTGTCTGACACACATGCATTTTGTTATACAAAATCTCATTGGTCAAACAGCATCCAACAACAATTTTTATTGTGCTGTACATCAACGAATTTCATTGGTTGAAAAAATGTAAAAAAAAAAATCACTGATTTATGCAGCTTGGTACAGAATGTTTTATTGGTTATTGCAGCACCTTATAGGTGTACTGCTGCTGTAAGACTGACCTTTGATTCTATAATGGATGGCATCTGTAATGTGTATGTTGAAGTAGTATTAACTTTCAAAGTTATTGATTGTATGACATTTGATGAAATGTGATGCTTCAACAGCTACTTTAATTAATCTCTGTGATTAGATTCATTTGTTAAGACTCTTCTGTGACAGAAGGATTCAAGTTTAATGAAGATTCTCATATTAATGTTGATATTTAATGAAGAATGGACATTTGTTAGTACACATGAATGTATGCATTTCAGCACAACCTTCAAAAGGAAATGTTTGATGTCTGTTCTGTTTCCAAAGATTTTATCTTTGTTCTAGATGAAATATAAAATTATATGATATCATTCCCCTTTAAAGTTAACACCACTCTGTTAAAATTTACTGCAGGAATTCTGTTGCCTTTCTAGTCTTTCTGAGCCCAGGACTCAAGTCAGTTGTTTTTGGTCAAAGACTATTCCTATTGTAGTCTGTCTGTGGATTTTATGTCATCTGTAAAGTTTTCTTATAAAGTTTCTTTTACAGACCTACACACAAAATTTCTACCAAACTTGTCAGAAAGCATCCTTTAATGAAGGGAATTCAAGTTTGTTTTTTTTTCAAATTAAGAACAATGTCCTCTCTCTCAAAGGGAGGTAATCTTCTTCTTAAGAAAACCATGAAAACCATGAAATATTTAAATGCAGGCATCATCCTTATGGTAGTGTATATCTTTTTTTAATCACAACACCCAGGAATCGGCTGGGGCTACAAGTTTTTTTTAAATTATAAGAAATAAAACGGTATTCATTTTTCCATTTAAAGAAGACAATGGAGACTTAGTCTAACACATGATCTTTTTTCCTGCAATATTTGATTTATCTTTTAAGTCATTGATAAGATTTTTAATAAATAATTTTTTTTAAATTTTTATCTAAGTTTTAAATGAATAAGGTATCACATTTTCAAAATGGTACTGTATTTGTATTAGTTGTTAATGACCATACTACATCTGATCTTATTGAACCTTTGCACAATCTGAGCACAATATTTATGCAATGTTCATTATTCTAGTCATTACATATAACCTTTCATTGTTTAATTTCTATTTTGTCTTAAGGTTCATAAACCCTCTGCTCACTCATATAAAATGTTGCTTGAACCTTCAGATTTTCCGAAAGATACAAACAATTATGACATAGCTTGCAGGGCAAAACTGGACAAAAAATATCAACTCAACTTGGCAAATTTATAAAGGAATAATAGACATGTATGTCATTAAGAGTTATCCCTCTTATCAGAGTATCAATGTACCTTAAAATTGTCTAATGATTTACAAAACAATGAACCTATTAGATCTTTGACTTTCACATATACCCAATGTGTGGAGGAAATTTTTGACATAACTTAGTCTTCTTTAGGTGCTGTCTGACTTTGCTCTAAGCAGTAAACATGTGAAAACATTATTAATTATAATGTAAAATTTAGAAGAAAATATCTGTAAGAAAATGAAAACATTTATTATTAGTGACTTATTTTTACATATACTTATTTCTATTAAGAATTGTGATTTTTTGCCTCGTGTAGGAGAAATGAGGAGTGAAACAATTGTTTTACAGAGTTTAAAATTTTCCTGTGTCACATTCCTATTTATAAAGACGTACATTGATCATTAATTCATAATGAATACAACGTAAAGACAAAAAAGGATATTTTTGTACACACCATTTTTTAATTCATAAAGATATTTATAGATATGGTTTTACCCATTTATTTGATTTGTTTTTTGTTTGTTTATTTTATTATTATTTTTTTTTTTGCAAGAAATTTTAAAAAATTCTTTTTAGGTATTTTTACAACAGATTTTTATGATTTATAAATTAAGGTTTTAACATTCACAATGGTACAACATTCCTGTGTTTTCCTGTCCCTACCACCCGTGTAGTTCCATGCTGGCACAGATTTTATTTTTGATCTCTAAATAATGTTAAATCAACTTTACTTGTAAATTTCATTTCTTGTTTTATGAGATGTTAATGAAATGGTTGTATACTGCCATTAAATCAATTAACTTTTTGCTCCTTTTCATTTTGTTTTTATTTTAACAGAATGAGAAATTTTGGTGATGTATATTATTCTTCATGCTGTAGTAACAGAATCAGAGTTATGTAGTTGTTTCCCTGTCCGTCAGTCTATTGACCTATCTGTCTAAAATGTTCGTCCACTAAAACTTTAACCTGAACCATAGCGTTTGATTGGTTGGAGCTACATGTATGGTTTTCATATTTCAATCAAATTGAAATTGATTGTCTCCTTACACACTCAGACAGTTTTAATGCGTTGAATTTCTGATAAAAATAGAACTCCATCTACTCTTTTTTTAGCTCACCTGACCCGAAAGCTAAAAAGGACTGGCACAAATTAAATATGAAGTTTGTAGACATAAACATTTTAAAGAAAATTCTGCAAGATGGATTTTGTGTATCGCATTGGTTAATCTCAGATTGTTGAGAGACATGTTTAAATTTTAAAGAATTCATTATTTTGTAATAAATTATATACACTTGTCTTAACAATGCGCAATGTAAACAAAATATAGAGACGATGACTTGCAATAAACAATCGTAATTTCCATTCTTATGTCAAAACGATATATCCCGGTAAACTTGAGATAAAAGATACCACAGAGTCTGATACATCTGTTTCATATATTTTGACATTTTACTTGAAAATGACGTTAATGGTAAACTAACAACCAAGCTCTGTGATAAACATGATGACTTTAACTTTTCTACCGTCAACTTCCCTTAATTGTGCAGCAATATACCTTCATCGCCTGCATACGGAACGTATATATCTCATTTGATTCGATACGCAAGAGCATATTGCTCTAGGTATGAAAAATTTCTAAAACGAGGTAAGTTATTGATAAACAAGTTGATAAAACAAGAATATCAGCAGTCTCGTTTAAAGTCATCATTTCGTAAGTTCTATGGTCGATAAAATGACCTTGTTAGCAAATACAATTTATCATTGAGTCAAATGCTGACTGACGTTTTTCATTCTGATTGTTAGTTAATTATTTATACAATGAATTGACGACAGATTTTTCCGTTATTTCCCGATCATGACAAGGAGCACGTTTTATGGACTTTTGACCTTGAATACTGTTCTTTATCTCTATATGTTTCATACAACTAAAAATTAATCATACTACAAAAAGATTGTCAGTATTTTCTAACAAAATCACTTTGTTTGCATTAATACTGGTATTTCATCATTAACGGCATATGATATACACAGCTCCGGGTACAAGCTTTTAAACTCACATCATCAGTTTTTCGCACAAATGTTTAAGTCACATTGGTTACAATGCAAAATTGTGTAACGAGGTAAAGGTATAACTTATAAGTGATATTTTAAGTTATTTTATTTTTATTTTACTAACTAAAATGTTTTACTAAAAAAACATCTGCTAGGACTTTAATATGAACAAGTTTCAAAAGTTTTTCACGGCTTCTCGTCATATGCAGCCTTCTTTGTATCCGTTCTTTTGAAAGCTTTCCTTTACCTTGCCTACAGTAACCTCTGTATTTTCTGTACATTAGCATGACTCTAAAGTGCAAGACGATAGCAGTATTTCTCATCTATTTGACTGCTTTCCATGTTAAGAAAACTGGGTTATTTCTGAAATCTAGATCATGAAAGATACGTCCCACCGCAAAATATCAAAGTTTCAAACCGTAAATGTAAGAGAATTTACCTTTCAATAGTAATAATTTGCTATTTCAAAAGATAATATTTTGTTATCCTTGGTTTTGGCATAATTTCTTTTTGCAGCATTGTCATTTTTTTTGGCACTACATTTCGACAAAACCAGATGAATATGGTGAATTAGCAAAGTATACTTAGAGAAATACTCATCTTTAGGAAATCAGTTTTAAGATTGAAACTAAATACATGTGGAATAAAAGAACGATTCAATTTGTAAATACCTTGGGTAGAATCATACAGATGTAACATCACACAATTTATTCATAAAGCCCTCTTTAAAATATCGACTTTGAAAACTAAAGTTAATGATTTTAAAGGACATGCGCCTTTGAGATGATATATCTAATACATGTTATTGTAATTCGTCGAACTGATGTTCGATAATGTAAATTAAGTTTTATTACAGGAATGTGATCTTAATTAAAAAACCCATGTGCGCAGAGCTGAATGTATTCATAATGAGTTAATACGCAAGGCCGTTCTGGGTGTTATGAAGTATTTAGCAATAAGCAAATTCTTAAATTATTAAATTAATCTTCTTTGCAATTGTACCCCGTCATTTTGTCGCAATTTTTATGATATGCGTAATACCGATTGCTAGGCCCCTTACAAAAATAACTAAAATCAATATTATAAAAACGCAAGACTTTTCACTATTTTATGCATGTACCCTCTGTACAACCATTCCCAAGCATAAAGTATAGTCATGACTTTTTGATGTCATAGATGGTTAATTTTTTTAAATAAAAAAGGGAAATTATTAATTTTCTTAACTTTTATGAGTCATTTTGCTAATTTAGATTGTTTAAACCCTTTTTGAACACGCAAGTGTTCTGAAGTTTATACTAGTTTTAAAAAGATACTCGAGTCATACATGACATAATACATATGTAGGATTTTTTGATAAGGTTTCAAACAATCTTTCGGAATATCCATGGTTAAAAATTGCTCCCCACAGGCCTAACAACAAAGCTTTATAATAAACAAGATACTTCTGACAATTCCATGTGTAAATAATGATATATCAGTTAGTATGAAAATTGTCAGTCAACATTCAACTTAATTATTATTTTTGCAAGGTCATTGTATCAACCATTTATGAAATAAAGCATCGACCAAAGCATTGCTAAAATGATGACTTTAAATGAGACTGCTGGTATTCTTGTTTCATCAATTTTTTTTCAGCAACTTAATTCGTATTTGTTCTTACAGAGAGCATACTCTTATGTATCAAAGAAACTGAGCGATATAAACTACACATAAAAGTGATTAGGGTATATTGCTATATAAGGAAGGGAAGTCGACGATTGAAAACTTGACATCACCACTTTTATCATTAAGTTAACTGTCTAATTGTTCGGTTACCTGTAATTTCTTTTTTCTAATGAATTGTCCAGATATGAAACAGGTGTGACGGACTCTGGTATCTTTTATTTCAAGCCCACTGGGGTATATCGTGTCACATATTAATAATTAAGAACTTAAACAGTTATATTAAACCATATACTATACAGGCCTGTGAATGCAGGCTAGCAAGGTACATAGGAACTTGTCCCAATTAAGGTTCATTTTAACCTTGATGCTATGAATCAACTGGAAGCAAAAGATGAAGATTTCTATGTCAAGAAAATGCTTCAAGATTGTGCATAAACTCTTTAACATTGTAATGATACCCATTGTAGAAATACCCCGGTATTTACATGCATATTTACACGGCTGTTTTTTCGCAATACTTTTTTATACCCGCCGCAAACAAAGTTTGGGGGGGTATATAGGAATCACCTTGTCCGTCTGTCCGTCTGTCTGTACCTCTGTCTGTCTGTCTGTCTAGCTGTCCGTCCGTCCGTCTGTTCGTCTGTCTGTGCAAACGTGTCCGGTCCATATCTTTCTTACAGAGGGACATTAGAATCTACAACTCCACACAAAGATTGCCCATGACCTAAGGGTGTGTCAAAACCTTGAACCAAGGTCATTTGGGGAAGTTCAAGGTCACTGGAAGAAAAATTTCATAATTCGTGTCCGGTCCATATCTTTCTTATGGATAAACTTGGTAGGTTCTCATTTCACACAAAGATTGCCCATAACCGAAGGGTATGTCATGACCTTAACCCAAGGTCATTTGAGGAAGTTCAAGGTCACTGGAAGAAAAATTTCATAATTCATGTCCGGTCCATATCTTTCTTATGGATAAACTTGGTAGGTTCTCATTTCACACAAAAATTGCCCATAGCCCAAGGGTGTGTCATGATCTTCACCCAAGGTCATTTGGGGAAGTTCAAGGTCACTGGAAGAAAAACTTCATAATTCGTGGCCGGTCCATATCTTTCTTATGGATAAACTTGGTAGGTTCACATTTCGCACAAAGATTGCCCATAGCCCAAGGGTGTGTCATGACCTTGACCCAAGGTCATTTGAAGAAGTTCAAGGTCACTGGAAGAAAAATTTCATAATTCGTGTCCGGTCCATATCTTCCCCATGGATAAACTTGGTAGGTTCTCATTTCACACAAAGATTGCCCATAACCCAAGGTTGTGTCATGACCTTGACCCAAGGTCATTTGGGGAAGTTCAAGGTCACTGGAAGAAAAATTTCATAATTCGTGTCCGGTCCATATCTTTCTTGTGGAAAAAATTACTTCTGAAAAACCAAGCGGGGGGTATTTTGTCCCGTTTGGACAGTTCTAGTTTAATTACTGATTAGCATCAAAGGAGAAAGTCATTGATTCTTTTCTAATAACTACTAGTATTCATTTAGATATAGATTTTTAGTTGTACGCGGAGGCTTATATGATTTGAGAAGACTTTTCATCAAAACAAATTGAATAAAAAACGAAAATGCTGCCAAAACATTATTGATGTTTGTTTATTAATTATATTTGAAAAAAAAGCCTGATCTGTTAATAAGTAAAAGAAAAAAAGAAGAAAGTTGTTCAGACACACTTACTTTTTTGTCTGTAAAATAATTTTTATTCAGTATTTATCCACTTTGATTTCGAAGGAAAACTGTACCAAGCGCTAAATTTGAAATGAAAGAAAAAAATCTGGAGTATTCTACCTTTTATTCTGGCACTACATCTGAAAGGTAAACACTAAATGTAAATCTAAAATGTTTTTAGAATTTATTGTTTTATTTCATTAACTAAAGAGGACAAAAATATTTCATTCCAATTGTTTTGTGCTATGAATTGTTTGCAATAGTATATAACGTCTAAAATCAAAATAGAAAGTCTCACTTTCAAATTAACGTAAACACTGAATTCATTTTATATGATAATATATTAAGAACATGTACATAGCAAATAACACAAGTAATCAAAACTTTGATGGAAGGAACGATATTATAAATATTTTGACTGATTTTGAATGAGCATGACATAAGAATTAAATCCCTAAAATATTCTAAACAGTGTATTGGTTTTTATAATTTTTCTGGGTGGGGTGGGGGGGGGGGGGTAGGGTGAGGGTATGTTTTTGTTTGTTCTTTTTATGCTTAAATATGAAACTTTGTTTTCTATGCAATTCTATGCAAATTTTTGCACCCAATTTTTTTTAAATTGTGACAAAATATTATTAAATTCTCCAACATATTATCTGGCAAACATTCAGACTACCCATCTAAATATATATTCTGATTTTTGAAGAAAAAAAAGTTTGTGTCATTTATCCTTAAAGAAGCCAAGAACATTAGAGAAGTTTGAGGGGTTTTTTACGGAAGCCCTGCAGGGACATCGACGTACTTGTGACTTACTTATGATTTTTAACCAAGTTTAAAGCTGCTATTGACTAAGCGTACCTTGGCCTACGTTTATTATCAAAGTGAAGTGTTTATTCCTTATTTAACTTTGGTTTTTTTAAATAGAATTATTGTACTTTAACATCCAGTACAGTTGTGACAGCTAAATTCTTATCTGATAATATCTTGTAACGTTTTTCTTTATAACTAAGTTATTACTTAATTCTTATACAGCTCCATGCACTTTCAAAACTCACTTTTAAAATGAGTTTCATTTTTCATTAAACTGATTTTTTGCACAAATTAACGTCACATTGATATAATGCGAAATTCTGTACCGAGGCAGCCAAATATAATTCAAAAGTGATTTAGAACTTAATTCTTATTGTATTTCACTAACTTAAAAATATTTTACACGTTATTGGTGGGGTTTGATATGCTCTTGGCTGATAAATTATGACAGTTCCCAAGTGAAGGATATGGAGATAACGAATAGTATTCAATAGCAAAGTCCATAAAACAATACAAAATAGGAGCAGAGCAAATACGGACCTCTAAAACATCAGAGGTGGGATCAGATGCTATGGAGCAGTGAGCATCCCCTGCCGACCGGTTACACCCGCCATGTGCTCCTTGTCATGATCGAGAAATAACGAATAAATCCGTCGTCAATTCAATGTATAAATGATGGACTAACAATTAGTATGAAAAACGTCCGTCAGCATTTGACTCAATGATAAATTAGATTTGCTGACAAGGTCATTGTATTGACCAAAGAACTTACGAAATGATGACTTTAAACGAGACTGCTGATATTCTTGTTTCATCAACTTTTTTGTCAATAATTTACCTCGTTTTAGAAATTGTTCATACGTAGAGCATGCTCTTGCGTATCGAATCAACTGTGAAGGTATATTTCTGCACAATTAAGGGAAGTTGACGATAGAAAAGTTAAAGTCATCACGTTCATCATAGAGCTTGGTTGTTAGATTACCATTAACGTCTTTTCAAGTAAAATGTCCAAGTATGAAACAGGTGTGTCATACTCTGTGGTATCTTTTTTCTCAAGCTCACCAAGATATATCGTATCGACAGAGGAACGGAAATTACCATTGTTAATTGATAATACGTCGTCGATATATCTAAATGTTGAGTTGGTGGCCACAGCAAGTGTTTTCTTCTTTTCATGCATAAGATTTTGCACAAATTCTGCTTCATATAAATACAAAAAAATAGATCTGCCAATAACGGAGCGCAATTGGTAACCATGGGAATTCCAATAGATTGTTGGACCAAACACAATTGTACCAAATGTTTTCTCATCATATGCAGCTGTCATTGTATTCGTTCTTTTTAAAGCAATCCTTTGCCTTACCTAGAACAGAAACAGTGCCTCTGTATTTCCTGTACATAACAAGACTCCAAAGCACAAGATGATGGCAGCATTTCTCATCTGATATACTGCTTTCCATGTTAAAAGCTGGCATTTTTTTTCAATTACTTTATGAAATCTAGCATCATGAAAGATACGTACCATTTCAGAATTTCACAGTTTTAAATCGTAAATGTAAAAGAATTTTCTCTTCAATAACTACAATTTACTATTTTAAAAGGTAAACAATATTTTATTAACCCATCCTTTGGCATGATATCCTTATGCAGCATTGTCATTTTTCGGTGCTACATGTCGACAAATTAACGAAGACGAGTAGGGAAAATGTGCAATGTATTTAGTAAAATATTCATCTTTAAGAAGTCAATTTAAAGAAGAATGTGGCCTTAATTTTCGCGAAAAAGCAATTGAGCTTAAAAAGTGCGCGGAACTGTATGTAACTTCTACTTTGCATAATGGTTTTATCAATGAGTACAACAACCTTTATACCTTGTCGTTAGTAATAAATTCAAAGACAAAATATTACTTTCTTCTTTTCTGATATTACAAGAAGCCCTCATCTTGTAAGCCACGTTTTGGGGGTTTAGTAAATGTGTGCTGACAAATAACAGGAATTAACAAGTCATAAGAACTTAGTCAAAACACCTAAGAAGTAAGTCAATATCCCTCAGGACTTCCGTAGATTTTGAGTATGATATTTCCTTCTCAAATATAGAAAAAAACCCATAAAATATGACCGATTTTCTCCAATTGTCATTAAACATGACATTTGTAATATATATAGATATAATCTCCCATTGCCTTTACCTAAAATTGTGCCCCGGTACACCTTATTTACTAAGCTATCTTTATTTTATTTCCAAAAGATATATTGGAAAATTCCTGTTATCTAATATGGATCTTGACATTCATCAAATCAAAATATATGTAATTATATTTTTTTAAGTCCAGTAAAATTTCTTCTCATAAATACAACGAAACGTTCCTTTTTAAACTGCAAATTCGGGACAAGTTTGCGGAATAAATGCTCCTAGGGATGAGCCATAAACTTTCCCTTGTTTATCTTCAGTAGATACAAATGCCCTGAAAGTCTGGTCCGTTATCTCTCGTTTGACAAACCAAGATGTTGTTGAATTTGCTACGGATACAATACATGTCCCCAGTCTTATATACTGTGCTGCCATGTGTTAAAAGAAATCCAGCTGTAACACATTCCGGTACAATGGCCCCACTGAGGACTGTCACATGTACCAGGAGGAACATTATAAGGCCACTGGGCCCGGTATAGTTAACAAATTCTATCAATTAATGCCACAGGGTACGTAGAAAACTCAAACCTTACCCATTGAAAATAAACACAGGAATGTTTCATCTAGCTACATGTATGAGTAAACTACGAAACCTTCCTCAAGTTGTAATCCACTCAAAGTCTATACAGCTATTGCTATTGGAAAAGAGGGAGAATTTTATCCAACAGGACTCTTAAATTGTAAGAGCAAGCTTATTCTTGAGAGAATAAAGCCCTTTAAAAAGTTGCATGAACTTATAATTGTGCAAGATACTCTAAATATTGTTATCAAAACAATACAACAAACGTGTGGAAAGAGATGTGGAAATTTTGGATTTTCTAAAAATTAGGATTGTTTTACTAGATAAAGGAATTGAGAACATTCTGGTAAACATAAAACTCTTTTTATTTAAGATAACACAATTAGTTTTCATGGAAAGGCACACGAAAATTTAAAATGAAACATATGGAGATAATAAACAGTATTCAAGATCAGAAGTCCATAACACAATACAAAACAGGAGCAGTGCAATAACTTAATTTTGTTGAAAATAACTTTCCTTCTGTTGAAAAATAATAATGATTGCGAGGAAAAAATAAGCACATGCCCCCAAAAAGGAAAAGAAAAATCAATCAAATATCAATCAAACAAACAAAAATTGACTTTAAAAGAATAAGTTATTAAATACTGGATAGTATGTAAATATACATGCGTCTATGAAGTAAATCAATAATTATGGTTTTGTGAACATGGACTCTCTCAACGTTTGTTTAAAGAACTTTATTTTTCTTTATTGTTCCAACTATCTGATTGGCTCAAACTAGATCACATGATCAAGTTTAAAAAGTGCTATAAACTGGATGTTTCTATTTTAAAAATTTATAAACCTGATGTTTCTAAAATTGGAAACGTTCTTCTGTGAAGCAACAATAGTGCTGACGTCACAATAGTCTTTATAAACTGGATATTTCTAAAAACAGATACTGCAGCTGGCATTCATTACTGTGACGTCATAATGCAAATGACATAACAATACCATATATGAGAAGGTACTGAGTATTAGAAAGAATGATTTTAAGACATTTCTTATTAACTGATAAAAAAAACCCAATAAAACAGTTGTAGCCTTTTGATTCGGTACAATCCCTAGAAATATAGACCTTAAAGAAAGCATATCGACCTCGCACTTTCTGCTCGGTCAATATGCTTTCTCTAAGGTCTATATATCTAGGGACTGACCTCATCAAAAGGCTATGATTGTATATTGCATTATATTAAAAAAAGATTATGTGTATCACAATTTTCACAACCAGTGACAATTTTACGCCAATTTTTTTCTTTTTTGGGCTATTTTAAAAATGCTAGCATAGAACGCTTATATTGGATTATCCCTAAAATAGACCATAATACGGTATATGCTATTCCTTGTAGACATTTAATTCGATTCATAGTAACTACACAGTACTTATAGATACATTCGTCCGCAGTTGTTTTAAAATTGAATTTAAGTAGTAAAAATATTTACTTAACCTAAGTACAATTGGTTTAAGGTTGCATTTCTGGGCTGGATGAGTGGTTCCCGGAAATTCAGAAGTGCATCTGGCTCTACCCAACAGCTCTGAACTATTACGATGCTAATACAACTTGTCAATCAATGTCCAAAACTCTCATCAACATGGAAACTCCTGCAAAACTCCAGTTTGTCAAAAACTTGATGGATTTGATGGGATATTGTAAGTTATTGTAATAATCAGCACCTGATTTTGAAATCACTAAAATTTGCCATTATTGGACTTTTACGAGAAGCACTGACTTTCACAGTTGACGATTTACTTGACATTTAAACTTGCATTGTGGATGGAAGTACGGAATTGATAATAGATAAGAACATCTTTCTAGTGGTCATAAGTAGTGCCCCTAATATTGTTAGGGGGACTAACATGTGAAGATCGGGATTTGAGGGTAGGATGGTTGGCGTTTTCTTTAAGGACAACTGATTTACGCTTTGAAATAACCCATTATTTTGGTTGAATTAAATGTTGAGCTAAATATTTTATCGTAAAAGAGCTTCCGTACGTTGTTCTAGTGTAAAAGTAAGCTGTCGACTGTAAAAGTCAGCGCTACTCGTAAAAGTCCATTATAAGTACAGTATCACAAAGTCTAAGATTATTTCATGTTACTTTTTAGGCTAATCTCTGACATAAAAAGTTTTTGTATCATAGTGGATAATTGGTGTCTTGATTTATTTAAAATTTAGTCTGGATTCACTCATATGCACGAAGAGAAAGCGAGAACTCGTACAGCTGGAAATCTGGTTCTCCCGTTACACAAAACTGGTGCCCCGGCCAGCCAGATGGCGATTTTTCTTGTGTAGGACTAGACATAAAGTTAGATGCCTGGTGTCCAATTGGAGGTTTCGACGATATAATTTGTTCAGATACAAGACATTTCTTCTGTGAATAGCAAAATAAAACAAGCTTGTCATAAACTGGATTTTACATATTTTGGCATTTCGAACATTGCTTCCAGGAAGAAAATCGATAACTCAGGGACATAGAAATTGAACAGTATTCCATGGCCATTAATGTACTTTTATGAAGCAAAGCTGAAGACATTAGAATATCAGACATACGATATTTTCTTCGAATTTCCAACTGAAAAGCATATACATATAAATGAGTTTGTTTGTGCCTAAATTTGCATTATGAGCGTTAACTATAGAAATCAGCATGTTTATATTAACACATTAATTTAGAAAATCAATTCTTAAACAATCTACTTTGATCAACTTTAATTGCTTCTAAAACAAAACGTCACCTTCAGTAGAAGGTTGAAAAATCCCTGTTTCTTTCTAACTTTATCAAGGTTCAATGAAGGCAAACAAGGAAGATATGCTTTGATGTGGGGAAATACTTTATTTTTAGATTCGTCGATAATATCAGTTTAGTTCCAAAAACAGTTTAGAAGCTTTTCGATCTGAAGACATTTTACCTGAAAAATTACCATGAAATTTAGAAAATACTTTTGTTCACGGAACTTGATATTTAACCATATTATATTATAAAAGCGTGTATCTTTAACTCTCAGTTTTTTGTGATATATAATCGAATTTTTTTTTAGCTTGATTACTGTTCATTTTCTTAAATTCCGTCTTATAATGGACAAATCGATTATGATGTTCAAGAGTGTTCGCTTCACGGTCGAGAAGTCTGGGTTCGATTCTAGTTCGACAAGCTGCGTCAGACCTAAAACATAAGCAGAGTATTGCTTGTTCCATCACCGCAAAAAAGTAGAAATTGATCACTATCGATAGGTGACGTCACAATACAGACTCCTCACTGCTCAATGTCCCAGGGTGCCATATATGTAAATTGGACCTCATTCACCGATGTTCACACGTATATGGTGACATCCTTTTAAGAGTGATAATTTTTGAATGGGACCTTCAATAACTGTAAACAATGAATGGATGATTATATTTTATGTTAACGCAAGCTCACATGCTTTTTTGATATAAACCTTTTGTAATACACGGATATGCAAATATCCTCCCCGTTCTGCTTATTCCGGTGTCAGTTTACGGATTTTTTTCTCGAATATAATGAATAAGGAAGCTTTTTGAAGTCTATGATTTTATTCGAACATGATTCCAGTGAATGAAAGAGTTGCAACTGTGCGTTTGATTTTTAAGATTAGTTCTTTTTAAGACCAAATATGAATATTTCAAGATAATTAAACTACCATATTCAATAATTATTTCTTTTTTAAATACAGGTATGTTTGTTCTAAGAAACGAAGCGGCCTTGCGTATTTTATTACTGATCTATTTATAAATGATTTACAAACAATCCATTTTGGCTTCATGGCTATTGATTCTGAGATAATAACCAGGTAACTTTTTATAATGGTATTCTTTTCTTAATCGATAGTATCTGTTTATAATCCTTAAATCATGTGTAAATATTATGCATATAAAATTACAAAACTGTGTTTTATTATAACAATTCTGCCACCTAATTAAAATTTGTAGCTGCTATATTTTCTATTGCTCCCACTAATCGGGTTACCTTCTCTAAATAAAGTATTATTATTATAAATCAATTTTTTCGATGACAAAGCGAAGGAAATTTTTAAAAGAAAATCTTTGAACGTAATCCTAGAGATTATTTAATTAAAATCGCAAAACAAAATTGATTTTAGGATACATGTATGAATAAATAAAGTCAAATAATATCATACTACATATATAACAATGCTGAGAAAAAAAGTTTTTTCGCTGGTTTTCATAAGACATCAAATGCTGACAGAATAAAATATACTTTGTTTTTCATATCATTGATACTATTTATTACTTTACCTATAGCACTATTTTAGAAATGCATTTGTGCATTTGGGGCATTATTTTTGCAGTAAATGGTAAGTATTTCATTCATTACTAAACTTTTCATATGAGTGAAAAATTCTCGAAAGGGGTCAACGTTAAACAAGTACATGTATTTTGTTTAACGTCCGTCACGAGAATTATTACGAAACTCTGAATAAAAAGGCAAGATATTGAAAATGCATATGACTCATTTGAATTTGTTGAAATTTCAGTGATCACAATTTCAGCGAAATCTGTTTTTTTTTCAAAAATTACTTAGACAACTTTAAGGAAAATTTGCAAGTATAATACATTAATTATCGCAATATCTAGATATTCATAATTGCTACCCTGTTGCTAAATTGAAGACCTAGTTGAAGTCTTTCTAGCATTTTCTTAAAATTGTATAGATAAATTCTTCATTCAGTCAAAGCAATTTCAGCGTAAACTGAATTTTTTTTGTTGTAAAAAAGTATGTCATTTGTTTCATGGATTAATTTAAAGAAGATATCCTTTAAATTCAATTAAGCTTAAGCTATGTACGTGTATATCAAATTGCCTATCGCTGCCACGGAAAAAAGAAGTTAAGTTTGATAATTAGCCAAATTTTAAGATAAAACTGCGATAACGTCCCAATCATGTACTGTTAGGGTAACTTCAGGATAAGTATAAAAAGGTCTATTCGGCAGAAAAAAAAGTTGTCTCGCGTGAATAATAATCATCACTGCGTTCTAAAATTTTCACTATACTGTAAAAAATGCGCTTAGAAAATAAACACTTCCGTTACGTGTTTTGACCTGAACATTTATAAGATTGTGTTTAACGGCAAAACACTTAGGTCTAAACGTGTGTTATATCTAAATGATGTTAGATTTAACACATGTTTAGATATAAGTGTTTAGAAATTGAACACTTTTCTGTGAAATGTAGAGTTATCTTCCCGGAAATGACGCATATAAATTCGAATGATAAATAGAGCGGTTATCGAAACAAAGAAAATCCAAATGTAAGCTAAAGAAGATGGATTAAAGGAACTGAATTCTAATCAAAGTGATAATCATGAAGAGATTGTGAAATACATTTAAGATGTATTCTTCTGAAACCCGGAAAAAAAAGTGCATTAAACTTTTCACATGCTTATATTTTTCTGAAAGTGTAATATCCAAGGAATAATTTAAAGACAAGAAAAGTGTATGTTAGTGTTCATCTAAGAGAGATTCAAACCCTCCAACATAGGTCAAAATAGAGCATGGGAAATTTCATTAAAATAGCTATTAGACCATTAAAATACCTCATAAAGTTAGAAATACACTCAATTTAAACCTAATTTGGCTTAAATTTACTTGAAAATATTGCAAAGTTAATTTTTAAAGCAAATAAACACTAATTAAATAACTTGTACCCAAAAAATGTTGTTCACCGGTGTCAAATTTAGGCAAATTTTCCCCCATAAAATTGCTCAAAAAACCAGAGAAAACATATTTCTACAATTAAACTTTTTGAGAAAATCGTTTCTTTAGGAATTATGATTCCTTTTTATAGTATGAAAAGTAGGGGTTAGTGTACATATAAGAAATTTTTGATATTTTTTACATACCCACCCCCTATTTCTTTTTTAAGCATTTAATGAAAATAAATCAAGGCATTTGGGCTTCAAAGTATGTGTTTTATTCACCAAATATTCAAAATTTGTTTGATAACTTCAGGTAATAATTGCAATTTTGTTAAGAAAAGCTTTTTATGAACAAGAAGTAATTATTTAACACATAAAACTTCATAATAGTTTATTAGATGTCCTCTCTTTCTCTTGCCCTGCAGGTTCTGGATTGGGTTATGGTTTTGTGGTGTTGGATGGTGGCTTCCCTGGGATTAGTCAAATCCAGTCCCATTTTCTCAATCTGATTTGCATGGTTTTCTCCATCTGATTATAGTGGTTCTAAAAACCTGCTCTCTTCTCAAGTTCTTCATTTTTGATTCTTGTGACAAGAAGACTTACCTGAAAAAATTATTTTAGAAAAAAAAAGATTATAATTACTGGTAATTTCATTGTTCAAAAAATGTAAAATCATTATTTGGTCTATCTGACTTTGTTTTTATGAACCCAAGCCCGTAGTTTAGAATCAAATAATTTCTACATGTTCTATGATGTTTCAGAAATATTCCATTTTTTAAACCCGCATAGGCCGCCATAGAATGAAGCGACCTAGTTTCTTATCGAATGTAAACGACTAAAAATTGTAGATGTTATCTTATTATTTTCGTACGGTATATCTATAAATTTGGGATAGATATTCTGCATTTACAATATCAAAGGAAATTTATCATATACCACGAGCTAAAGTTGCAATAAAAAGGATAATACGAATGTTGTCGTCTGCACGAATCTGAGGACCCCTTATTCCTAACGTTTCGTACATGTATGTAACATGTTTTTGCTATGTTTCAGTTTGCGATGTGAAAGTGTACTAGGTATTTTGAAACTTTTGTATCTATAATGCATAAACATTGCTATTTCAATAAGTTTAAAAGCATTGGAAACCTACATTTTCGCTTTTCCACTGCTATTGGAACGTCGTCAACACACTTCGGCGCTCTTGGCTGGCATGTTTGTGGCGCCGCTTTCGAGAATGTACATGGCCTGATTCTGATATCGGCGATTTTTTAAATGTTTTAAAATTTCTGTCGATTTGCTCTTTTAATAGAGTGCATTGGGCATTCCTGTCGCTTTGAAACGGGCGATCCCGTCTTCTTCCCCTCTCGATCACGTCGATTTCACTTGTCGACTTTCTTAGGCCTATGTCGTAAATATCGTGATTTTGCACACGTCTTGGTCATCAATACAACATAGAAAGATTTTTTATTTAAAAATAAATATAGCTAAACATGTAAATCATAAAAACTTTACAAACTTGTTTGTAAATTGTTGTCAGTTTGAATTTTACGACATGTTTAAGTACGAAGACCCACTTGTGGTAAAATGATCAGAAGAATTCATCCTTAAAATGCAACATTACTACGATAAAAGGTATGTTTACTATTTTTTTTTTATTTTACATAAATTGACCACGATGGGCTAGATTCCCTTCGGTTATATTTTGCA